GGATTGTTGTGAAAATAAAATAAAATAATATTTGTAAAATGCTATGTAACTATATAAATATTATTATTATTACTTTATGTCAAGCCACCATGGTTCTCAATTACCTATTCAGTCACAACCCTAATCTTCAGTTTAATTTTGAAGACCAAACTATTGATCCAATATTTTCTTCTCAGATTTTTCACTCTTTATATGATCAGTCTCCTTACCATCCTTTAAAAAGTTCAGACTTATTCCTGTCTTTAGACTTTAATTCATGTTTACTTCATCTCTAAGTTAATTTCATCTGCTTATGATAGAAATACATATGTGCTAAGTAAATAACTGTGATTCTTCCCTTGAGTTTCTAAACTTTTTAGCTCTAAAGTCAGTTTGATCCTAAACTATGTATCCAAACAATTCTTATAAAAACCCTCTAGTACAGCCGTCCCTCACATAAGAACTAATTAAATAGCCTGCAGGTTGGTCTGCCTCCCTTAAGTCTCTCCTCACTCCAATTCATCCTCCATTAAGCCACCAAAATTATTTTCCTCAAATGCAGGTACAACCATGTCACCCCTCTACTCAATAAACTCCAGTGACTCCCAGGATATTTAAAATTCCCTAAGAAGAGGATTTTACACTTAAAAATACTTTATAACCTAACTTATTCTCTCTTTCCAGTCTTCTTATACCTTACAAGCCCCTATACAAATTCTTCTATCCAGTGACACTGGCCTCCTTGCTGTTCCTTGAACAAGATACTTCATCTTTCAGTTCTGGGCATTTTCACTGGCTATTACTCGTGTCTTGAATGTTCTACCTTCAGCACCCTGGGTTCCTTCAAGTCACAGCTAAAGATTTACAATCTACAAGAACTGTTTCCCAACTCCTCTAAATTCTAGTATTTTCCTTCTATTGATTATTCATCCTATATATAGCTTGTTTGACCACAGTTATTTGCATTTTCTTTCCCATATTAAATAGCAAGCTCCTCAATGTTAGGGACTGTCTTTGGCCTTTCTTTGTATCCTCAGGCCTTAGCACAGTGCCTGGCACATAGTTTTGGCTACTGTTCAGTCATTCAGTTATGTCTGACTCTTCATGGACCATAGTACTCCAGGCCCTTCTATCATCCCCTATCTCTCAAAGACTGTCCAAGTTCACGTTCATTGCTTCTATGGTATTATCTATTCATCTCACCCTCTGCTATCCCTTTCTCCTTTTGCCTTCAGTCTTTCTCAATAGGACCAGTAGGTCCCACCTTCTTATTATGTGACCAAAGTATTTAAGCTCCAACTTCAGTATTCAATTTTCCTGTGAATAGCCTCACTTTTTTTTTTTTGGGGGGGGGTTAGGCAATTGGGGTTAAGTGACTTACCCAGAGTCACACAACTAGTAAGTGTTATGTGTCTGAGGTCACATTTCAACTCAGTTCCTCATAACTCCAGGGCCAGCGCTCTATCCACTGGGCCACCTAGCTGCCCCGCCTCACTTAATTTCTTCATTTGATTTCCTTACTGTACAAGAAACTCTCAAAAATCTTCTCCAACACCACAATTTGAAAGCATCGATTCTGCAATGCTCAGTTTTCCTTATAGCATAACTCTCACAGCCATGCATTGCTACTGGAAAAACCATAGCTTTGACTATTTCGAGTTTTGTCGGCAAGGTGACGTCTCTATTTTTTAGTATGCTGTCCAGATTTGCCATAGCTTTCCTTCCAATGAGCAAGAGTCTTTTTAATTTCATAGCTGCAGTCACCATATACAGTGATCTTTGAGCCCAAGAACATGAAATCTGACACTGCTTCTATTTCTTCTCCCTCTATTTGCCAGAAGTGATGGGACCAGTTGCCATGGTCTTTTTTTTTTTAAAGCTTCAAGCCAGCTTTTACAATCTCTTACTTTCACCCTCATCACAAAGCTTCTTAATTCGTCTTCATTTTTGCCATCAGAGTTGTATCATCTGTATATCTGAGATTGTTGATATTTCTTCTGGCAACCTTAATTACAAATTTTGATTTATGCAGCCTGTGCTTAAAAAATGCTTACTGACTTGTGGCATTGGTAAGAATCAGTCCCTAAGAAGAAAATGAAGCCACATTTTTGGACAAGCCTAAGATCTTAATACTATCTCTGTCTCTCTGTCTGTCTTTGTCTTTCTGTGTCTCTTTTTCCCTATTCCCTGGCCTTTCTCTTTTTCTCTAGTTCCACTTTTGGTACTATTCCTGCTGCTAAGAACTTCTCTCCTGGAAGTAAGCAAACTGTTCCACAGAGGCACACCTGCTCCCTATAATCAGGCACTTCTACTGCAGGTGAAACTACTGCTACCCCCTTCCAGACAGTAGTTTGTGCTGCTTCTACCACATGGCTACCAGATTCTTGAGTTCTCAGAAAGTACTGTACCCCAGGACATAAGACATAAAAAGTGTAGTGTTCTCATCCCAGGTGCAAGCTAATGTAGGCAGGCCATGTGTTCATAGCTTATGTTTCCTAGAGGATTACATTCCCATGTATCCTGCCAGAGAGCTAAAAGAGCCTTCTATATTTTCAAAACAGGAAGAGAAGTTCCAAGAGGCCTGTTTAGTATGTCCATAGAATTTGGGTTCAACAATGAGGAGATCAATAGAATGATGAGTCATAGAGAACCAGAAGTAGATACAGAATACCTGTTGGTGCTCAAGTTTCTTTCTTTTTTTTTTTTAATTTTTAGGCAGTTGGGGTTAAGTAACTTGCCCAGGGTCACACAGCTAGTAAGTGTCCAGAGGCCAGATTTGAATTCAGGTCCTTCTGACTTCAGGGCCAGTGCTCTATCCACTGTGCCACCTACCTGCCCGGGTGCTCAAGTTTCAATGTGGTCCCCTGCAGGACATATACTTTCTCCAAGAAGAATGGAAGGCCTAGGGGAAGGACCCAATATACCTGGAGAGATCAGCTTGGAATTGATGAGTGGGTGAAATTCTAATGGCATTGCTATACTGTCCTGTAGGCATAATTATGAATATTTACTGAAAAAGAGCCTATTATCATAAATCTAAGAAGTAATTCATATTTGAATTATCAATTTGAGGAAGATGGAATAATGGATAATCTTATTTTCTTTCCTAATTTATTTACTTATTCTCTGATTCACTTTTTTGTTTTGTTTTTTTGAGGCTGAGTCTCTCTATCTTGCCCAAGCTGGAGGTGCATCAGTCAAGTTCTCTTTCATATTTTCATATGCAGTCAGGCTGTCCCTTATTCCCCAAGGCTAATTATATTGGTGGCAGGTTTAGGAAAGGAAGAAAAAAGAAAGAAAGAAAGAAAGAAAGAAAGAAAGAAAGAAAGAAAGAAAGAAAGAAAGAAAGAAAGAAAGAAAGAAAGAAAGAAAGAAAGAAAGAAAGAAAGAAAGAAAGAAAGAGAAAGAAAAAAGGAAGGAAGGAAGGAAGGAAAGAAGGAAGGAAGGAAGGAAGGAAGGAAGATATATACACACATATGTGTGATATATTACCATCTGAATGTGAAATATTTGTATTTTGATGACTATCAGCATTTTATCCGTATCCATATACAGGTATATATCCACATTCATACATACTCCTATATACATATCTTTTAAAGGTGGAATTTTAAGCTCTAGCCACTGTTAGAGAAAGGATGGGAACACTGGAAAAATTGGAAAGGAGTACTGGTATTCCAATGCATCTCAAATCATAACAGATTTTGAGTTTCTTTCTGTGGTTGTCAATTTGCTAACCCTAACTTAGACCAACTTCGCAAACAGGAAAGCCAGAGATCATTGCAGCTATAATTGTCCAGTGGTAATTACTAAAATTGACAAATAAAAGGAATAAAAGTGATCACTGTGATATGATAATATGCAGCAGATATACCCATATGTGACACAAAGATATGGTCAAATTTTGGTTTGAGGGTCTGGAATTCTAACTTAATCTCCCATAAAACTTGGCAGTAGCTTAAAGCAAAGGTACACCTGATTCTTTCATTAGTTTTCTAAAATATGCCATAAAACACTGAGTAAGTAATAAGAAGATACTGCTTACGAATTCAAACAGTTCTAGATACAAAGTCTTCATTTACTTAATGTTGTAGCTCTAAGTTAAGTGAATAAAAAGTGAAGTCACAGCTGTGTTAGTGGTCTTACTTGGTGGATCTCTCAATTAACTAGTGAATTTGCTGAAACACTAATAGTCATCCCATGGAGATGGGTTCAGGCCAAGAATTTGTAATGTAAATCTCTGAAGCAGACTCAGTTGGAGCTGGTACCAGAGGAGTTTCTCTGGAAGCAAGGCTACTTCTGTGGAAGGTGAAACCTTAAGCAGATTCTCTAATGCCACTAAAAACTGTTTCTGAGGAAATAGCAATTATAGCTACAGGATATCAAAACAATCCATTGAAGAGTAAAAAGTACAGTCAATCAAATATTAGGTCTGCAATCAATAGATCTGCTTAAGGGATCTTTTTTTCATTCTTTCTTTTTTTTATTCACCTATTTATATATTCATTTATTTGCTGAAGCAATAATTCAATGCAATTAAGCAACCGTTTATTAAGTAACTACTATGTGCTAGACACTGTGCTAGGTGTCAAGTATCGGAACATGAATGAATCAATGAGTCAATGAACAGTTTATTAAATGATTTTAAAATGCTAAGCACTCTTTATCTGTGTATATAAATACAAAAGGGAAGATAGTCCTTGCCCACAAGAAACTTACATTCTAATAGAGGTAGAGGAAAAAAATTTGCGTGTATATATATATATATATATATATATATATATATATATATATACACACACATACATATATATACATACATATACACACACATATATACACACACACATACATATATACATATTTATACATATATACATACACACACACACACATATATGTATATATATAAAGAGAGAGAGAGAAGTGCTGGCTATGGTGGAGTACTCTGCTTTGGAAATTTATGGCGATGTAGAGTAGAACTATAGGTGAATAGATTCACATATATTTATTTTATTAAGTTTTCAGATCTGGAAAGTATAAGAAGAAGGCATCACAGAGAATATGCAAGGGGCTTGATATCTGAGGAGGACATGGGCAAGGAAGTCAAGGAGAAAGATGATACATGTCTGGAGTCAGAAGGCCCTGAAATAATGGGCTATTTGAGGATCTCATCTATCAAGATAGCATCACTCCAAGAAGACTGAAATGAACTGACAGGGAAATAGCTCATAATCAATGGACATAACTGGAGTTAGCCCAGCCTGAAGAAGTAGGCCACGTGAAAAACTAGTTAATCAGGACAGAGGTGCACGAAGGTGGACATTCTAGAGATGAAAGGGTTTTTAGATGATAAAAATAAAAAAGTCCCCTCAAAAAGTTTTACATTCATGACTTTAGGAACAAAAGTTTTGTGAATTTCCATTAATGAGACATTCCTATTCTAGGAACTAAAAAACTGAAAGAAGATTATTAACATCAGAAAAGGAGCTTGTTGTGTAAAAAAGGAAAACTAAAGGACTGCATTTGTTGCTTCATCCTCACAAACTAATCTGACCCTTTAGTCAGTTACACAGACAGTTAGTAAAAGCCGACACCACTGTATGTGAAACTTAAGATCTATATAACTCAGTCTCCAACCCTGTAGCCTCAATCAGCTTCAAGAAATATCTTTGAATAAATCTGATTAGGTTTATGTCAGTTTTGTACTTAGTCTCTTTCCTTTCCTATTGTGACCATTGATTTACCACAGGAATCACTCTTGTAGTGAAGCCTGTGATACTAAAATGTTGTAAAAGATAGGAGAGTGTGCTCACCATTTTCCAAATATACCCATGGGTTCCTCAAAATTTCATTGAGCAACTTCGTATTGGTTGAATGAACAAAAAATTCAAACAGTGTCACATCATTATTTCAATAATGTGCTGTTGAATATAGAATAGGTTTCGTTTTTGGTTTCATTTTGTTTTGGTCTGGCAAAATCCATACATAAATTATTTACACCAACTAATAATGTAGCTAACATATTCCTGAGTCAATCATGGTGACTGAGGTTGGTGGGGTTTTTTTTGAATCTTACACTAACAAAAAAAGGTTCAAATTGTTAATTTTATAGACACACACATACATATGTAAGTATGTATGTATACATACATATATACACATATATGTATGTATACATACATGCATACATACATACATACATGTGTGTGTATACACACACACACATATTTATATATATTCACCCTTTCCAGATTCATTCAAACCAATGATTCCTATGTTTCACATGTCAGGAATTAACAAAACAAAAACAAAGCAAAACAAAGCTGGCAACAGGTACCAGGAAACATTGTAACAAGAAGGAGGCTTTATTAGAATTAGAAAAAGAAAATGGAGAGAACAGGTGCAACATTCTTCAAGAATGTGAAGGGAATCTTAGCAGCCACAAAGAAAATGGTTGGGGTGTGTGTGTGTGTGTGTGTTCAAAGAGGTCCAAAATGACATCACTATGTCAGGGTCAAGGTACAACGTGTCCAACTGTAGCTGATCAGATCAACAAGAGCTCAAAAGGCTTTACCACAAGTCAGGCACAAATAGTCCATATGAACATTTGTTGAAGGAAGATGTCTCTAAATTTGTGCATCTCACATTTCTTTTGAGTGACTACAATTCTGCTTTGCTTATAGAGCATCACACCTTCTTTGATCAGGGTACACTATGGTGGGTGGTCCTGTACCATTGTTTTCCATGTCTCACAATCAGTTCCAAAGTTCTTCAGAAAGACCTTGACAGTTTCCTTGTATCACTTCTTCTGACCTCCATGTGAGCTCTTACCTTGTGTTAGTTCTCTGTAAAATAGTCTTTTAGGCAAATGTAAGTTTGGCATTCAAACAACATTGCCAATCCATCATATTGTGCTTTCTGCAGTACAGTTTAAATGCTTGGCAGTTCAGCTCAAGAAAGCACCTCCGTGTCCAGTACCTTATCTTGCCATGTGATCTTCTTAATCTTCCTAAGACAATAAAAATGGAAGCAATTTGGTTTCCTGGCATGTGGCTGGTATAGTGCCCAGGTCTGACAGACATGCAACCGTGAGGTAAGCACAACAGCTCTGCAGACCTTCAGTTTGGTAGGCAGCCTAATACCTCTTCTCTCCCATGTTTTCTTTCAGAGCCTCCCAAACACTGAAGTAGCTCTGTCAATGTATGCATTTTTTCTTGTTGCCATTGTTATTTTTTTACAAAGTGCTTTACATATATTAGTTTATTTGAGCCTCACAACAACCCTATGAGGTAGATTGTAAGGGAACTATCATCTCCATTTTAGAGATGAGGAGACTGAGGCTCACAGAGAGCATCACAAGCGAGATTCCAACAAAGGTCATTATGGCTCCAGCTCATTATCCAGGCTGTGCCACTATGCCAAACTCTTCCTCAAGTACATTCTCAGCAATTTGAGGGAAAGTGGTTCCTGGCAGTTTAAACTTCAGACATTAGGCAAACACAGAAAGAGAAGAAGTCAAAGAAAAAATGTAGGCTGGTAGTAGTAAATTAGGCATTAGATTTAATTTAGAAAGTTGTGATTAAAAACGATCCAGCCCAACCCTATCTCCTTGTAAATGCTGACTCAGAAACTGGCTTCTCTTTGTGGTTATGACATCTACAATGTGTATGTAGCACTCCAGTCTGACAGGACAATGAGATGGCAAACACGCTCTCTGTGTTGAGCAATTGGCAAAATGTGTACATACCTGGAAAGTATTCTGCCCAGGTAAGTGACCTTCTCTACATCCTTCTCCATTTGCTGTAACCAATGGTTCTACATATAGATGATGTGGTAGTGGCTAGTGGAGAACCTCTGTTTTTTTGGTATTAATTATCAGGCCAAAATTAGCGCAAGCAGCAGAGAATCAATACAAACTTCATTGCATCTCAGTCTCAGAGGCTGCACTGAGTACACAATCATCTGCTAACAAAAAGTCATGTACGAGCCTTTTCAAGTTAAATAATTTACCATCAATGCAGTAGCTGACCTTGATGCCATTTTTGTCCTCATTGAAGTCATCTGACATCTCCGAAAACATCCTAGTAAAAAGCACAAGAGCAAACATACAATCCTGCTTCATTCCATTGGTGACTGAGAAAGCATAAGAACAACATCCATTATCCAGAATGCGTGCAAGTTTGCCAAGATGATACTGACATACAATGCTGATGAACTTCTCTGGGCAACCAAAATTTGCCACAACCTTCCACAAATCCTCATGACTGATAATAGTTATAGCCTTGGACAGATCAATGAGCATTATGTACAGACCTCCATTCTGCTCCTGACATTTCTACTGGAGTTGTTGGGCAGCAAACACCATAGTGACCATTCCTCAACTTTTTCTGAAACCACACTGGCTTTTGGTCAGATAGCCATTTTCTAGGTGAAGAATATGCCAATTAAGGAGGACTCTGGCAAGAATCTTGCCAGCAAATACTGAGAGGCCCACCCTGTGATTGTCACAGGAAAGTCTGTTTCCTTTACTTTTACAGAGATGGACAATGGAGGCATCCTTGAAATCCTGGGGAATATCCTCCTCTTGCCATATAACCCTGAAAATTTCAGTCAACTTTTATATGAGCAGTGGACCCCTTACTCAGGAATAGAACCAGCAACAGGTACTTTGCCATATGAGAGGAGCCTAATGGCATTCAAAACCTCTTCTTCAGTTGGAAGTTTGACTAGAGAGGGATTGATTTCAACCCGAGGTTGGTATCTTCAGCATTGTTGATGACAATGCGTTAAGAACACTATGGAATTGTTCAGCCCATCTATCCAGGATTATGGCCTTATCACTAATCAGTGTGGCTCCAACAGCACAGAGTAGTTGAGATGGACCATAAGTATTTGGCTCATAAATGGCCTTCAGGGCAACATAAAAAGACTTTAGATTGTTACTAACAGCATAAAACTGAATTTCATCTGTCTTCTTACTGAGCCAAAAATCCTGCATCTCTCTAAGCTTTCTTGTATTTTACTTTTGATGGAGTTAAGTGATGCCTTTTAGAGACAGAAGAATTGTCCTGCTAATAAATGTTAGAGAGTTCTCACTTTTTTTTTCATTTAGACACATTCTGAATTCCCCCATTTTTTCCCCCTTAAAACAGTTTTGCTATCAGTGAGTGTTCTGGCCTAGATGAGTAAATGCAACATTGTACACCAAATCTCTAAAAGCTGCCCACTCCTTTTCTGCTCCATTGTTGCCAGTAGTGTGTTGGCTCAGCTTTCCCTCCAAGTTAGCAAGAAACTGTTCACGCATGGAGAAGCTCTCTAATTTGCTGACTTAAGTCTTCTGATAATTGCCTTGTCTTGGTACCACCACTTTTTTAATGCAAATGTTTAGCTTGTAGAGGATAAGTCAATGATCAGTCCAGCGCTATGTGCCCCACATCACCTTCATCATTCTCACATTGTGTCTCTATCTTCTTCTTACAATTGATATAGTTTGTTAAATGCCAATGTTTGCCAGAGTGCATCCACAATGTTTTATTGCATTTGGGTAACTAGAAGACAGTGTTGTTGATGAGAAAATTATGAGACGCACAAATTTTCAGCAATAAGGACTATTGCTGTTGCTGTTGCTGACTCCATTCTTCCCATTCTTGGACTTCCTAACATGTCTGATAGTCTGTGACTACTCTAACATTAAAGTCACTCGGAATTATAAACCTATCCTCTTTCTGTACATTGATGATGAAGATCTCCAGCCTTCATAAAATTTTTCTTTGACCTCATCAGGGTTTGTCATGGTAGGAGTATATGTTCTGATGACAATGGTGTGGGGCTTTCCTGAAAGTGGCAATTGCATTACTATGAGCCTGTTATTCACTCCTTTTGGGAGGCATACTAGCTCGTTGACTAAGTTAGTTTTGATTGCAAACCTATGCCAGTTTCACAGCACTCCTCATCACTGCAGCCATTCCAGAAAAATAGGTAGTCAGCTCCAACTTTGCTAAGCTGGCCTTCATTTGCTAGCCTTGTTGCTCTCAGGACTGCTATTTGGATGTTAATACCTGCTGAGTGCTCTTACACTAAGAGCTGTTTGCCTTTCAAGTCTACTGGATTTCATGTTGCCCATAAGTGTGCACACATTCCATGTACCAGTGGTAAGTGGAATCATCTTTTCAACAGTTTTCGTACTTTTTTGTATTTCTGCCACAGAGTGAGATCCCCAAATGCTACAATAAGCAGGCTAGGGTTAGGTTAGTTGAAGCAGACAATTTCCCAGGCACTTTTTCTAGCCCCTTCCTCATGTCAGGAGGTAAGCAGTGCAGTCCTTTAAAAAGGTTTATCACACAACCAGGGGACTGCTGAATCCCACTGCTGCCTAAATCTAGTGAGAAGACAACCCTACTGCCTGTGCTATCTGTGTGCAAGGTTGTGACTACATCTCTATCTCTGCTGTTTTGTCACATGCCCATCATCACAGGACTTCAAGGTAGGTAAAAATGGTAAAATGGTATGGGTGAAGTCTTTCATCTCACCCATAAATTGGATTTAAGGGAGACAGAGTTACACGAAGTCATCTGCCTCACTCTCTCTTCCAGAGTTATCAGAATTCAGTGACGAGACCAAAGTCAAGATGACTGGTGATGGCCCAGAATGCAGCAGATGACCGAGCTCTAAGCATTCCACCATATCTGCTTCAGTTG